CTGAAATACTATCGCGATACATTTGTATCGCGATACTGCCCAACCCTGAATGGAACGTGCCGAGATACATCCTGTTTTAACACGTGATGTTTTACCCCCTCCGGGAGTAACATTAGAGGCACTCGAGAAAGAGGTTCAGATGACACTGGTGTCCAATCAGTAAGGAGACGAGCACTGCGTCTGAGTTCGGATGGCAGTCGGCCATTGCTGGCACCTAACCAAATTTCTCGACGAAATGATAGTGTTTTGAAATAAATAAAATTAAAAAAAATGTTTATGGGGAGTTTAGTGTCCCTCTTAAGGCAGAACGAAGCTAAAGCCTCTGTTACTGAAGTACCAGGGTGATCGGATAAGTGCTTAGCCTACAAAAGAAAAAAAAAATTTGGAAAAGGGGCGATTTACTTTTCAATATAGTCTTCTTTTTGGTTCGATACACTTGACCCAGCGATGCTCCAACTTTTTTAACCAATTTAAAAAATAGGTTTTCCCGAGGTCTGCAAAGTATCCTTCCGTAGCGGCGATGACCTCCTCATTCGACTCAAATTTCTTCCTGGCGAGTAACTTTTTTCAAGTTTGGAAACAAAAAGAAGTCGCACGGGGCCAAATCTTGAGAATACGGTGGATGGGGCAGCAGTTCGTAGCCCAATTCGACCAATTTGGCCGTGGCGAGGGGGGAGGTGTGAACCGGTGCGTTGTCATAATGGAAGAGCACTTTTTTCTTCGCCAAATGGGGCCGGTTTGTTTGCGATTCGGTGTCCAATCGGCCCAAGAATTCGGCATAGTACAGCCCTGTGACCGTTTCGCCCTTCTCCATGGTAGTTGATTCACACCTTGTGAATCCCAGAAAACGGTGGCCATCACCTTTCCGGCCGATAGGACTGTCTTCGCCTTCTTCGGAGCACGTTCGCCGGGTGAAGTCCAGTGTTGCGACTGTTCCTTGGTCTCTGGTGTGTAGCAGTGAATCCGTGTTTCGTCGACGGTCACGGAAAGACGCAGAAACTCCTTCGGATTGCGCTTAAAGGGACCATGAAGGCAGTTTCGAAGTTTTATTCGACGATTGAAATGAATGTCAGGCACGTCTCAGATACTGTTGACCAAGTTCTAGCCCGAACAGAAGTTTGGGTGCCGCACCAATCGAGCAAACAGGCGCGGTAATAATAGCGCCGGGAACGATGCTTGAGACCCCACCGAGGCGGCGGCAGAAAGGTGAACTAAAGCGTGACGACAACGGGCACCTCGTCTGGCGATTGGTTCAAACGATAGACGCGCTCTTGGTTTCGATTTCGGTGGTGAGATGTGATGAAAAATATTTATTTGAACGTTGGATAATCTTTTGAAGTTGTAGTTGGGAATTAATAGGTTTCATACCGTGTATAAAAGCATAATCTGAAGCGATCCCTCCGTTTGTCACTGGTTGAACTCATCCCGCACTGCTACCTCGGGCGCGTAAGAAGCATCGAGCAACCATGGACATAAAAAAAGGAAAAGGTACGAGCGCCGGGGGCGGCGGACTTTTGGTTTTGGTTTCGTGCGTCGTCTCGTGTTCGCTTTGCGAACTGGTGTCTCACCAACCATGCCGCGTTTATGTGCAGTAGTAGGTTGCGCGAAAGGTCGGCTAAAGACTTGCGGCCGATCGGGCGACGTTAGTTTGCGTAAACTGCCGACCGATACAGCAATGCGCAGCATTTGGTTGCGCGCCGTCGTCTTGCGTAGAGCTGTGGACAGCGGTGTCAGGATTTGTTCGTTGCATTTCCGACCAGAAGACTTTGAGCAGCACCTTCACGTCAGCCGGAGTCTGGGTAAAAGTGGGGCGGGGAGTCGCTCTGAGGCGGCGACCGAGGAGTTGGTGGTAGGTCTGGGGCGCCCTCGTAAAGTGCCAATCCAGAGTTCTGCGTCCTTAGCAGCATCTCCCGTTCAGTCGGCGTGAGGTCGCTGAACGGGAGCTCAAACTCGTTCACAAGCGCGGCGTTGTCGTCCATTTCTTCCAGGTTTTCTTCACAGACCGCCGTGCACTAGAGCGAACCACGGGAACCACACTGAGTGTGCACTAAATCCTACCGATGCCGACAGTGCTCCCTGATGTCACTTCTCTTTCCAGAGGCGAAAAAGGGAAGAAATCTGAATGTTTGTTTCGGTTTCGCAAATTTATTTGCAAGTACAGAAATAAAGAGTCACAACGTTCTAGAAAAAATTGTGTGGCATGCCAGGACCCCAATGCTTCCGAAAACACCTTCTTTTTTAAAAAAAAAAAAAAAATTAAATTGCCTTCATGGTCTCTTTAAACAGCGTCAAACACTGCTCTGAAGCGGTCTCACGGTTGCGCTTGTTGTCCGGAGTGAGCAAACGCAGCACCCATTGCGCCGACAGCTTTTTCATGCCCAAAATTTCATGCAGGATATGACCCACGCGGTTTTTCGAGATGCGTATACTGTCTCAGCTATCTCACGCATCTTCAATCGGCGGTCTGCCAATACGAGATCGTGGATTTTTGTCACATTATCCTCCATGGTAGCCGTTTTCAGGGCACCTGGGCGTGACTCATCAAAAACCGACGTGCGACCATGTTGAAACTTGTTAAACCAATTTTTGACGGTCGCCATCGAAGGAGAAGAGTCACGGTACACAGCATCCAAGCGCTCTTTGATTTCACTGCCCGATTTCCCTTCCCAAAACAAGAATTGAATCACCGACCGATATTGCTCTTTTTCCATTTCTCTAAAATTCGCGGACACGCCCGCTTCCACATGCGGTCAAAACAAAACTATGAGTCCGATTTGGTTGAAATTTCGATAGTAGCTGTCTACGAGAATGTACTAGACGATAATACATTTCTCTTTCGATAGTGGCGTCATTGGGCGGTGAGGCTAAGTACTTATCGGACCGTCCTCGTATATAGTATCTGACACCTGTACCTTCTTCAGGCCCATCCTCTTCGTTTTTCAATAAACCAATCTTTTTTTTTTCTCTCTCTCCCCAGGCCCAGGCTACGAACTCCCACGCAGCCCTAGGGGTCAGAGATCTGACGTAGTTCGACATCACACAGCTCGTCAAAAATAAAATAAAATAATTAAAGATAAACAAAGAGGTCGCGAATCAATTTCTAAGTAAGCTAAGCACGAACACGCGACCGACAACAAACGCATAATCGCCACAAAAGCCCACATCAATGAAACGACAGATCAGGACTAAAGAAAAGAGAAACGAACGAACCAACAAACCACCAACGCGTTAGCGCTATAACTGCTTTCCCCGCCACAAACAAAATCCGAAACTCGTAAACGTAAACCAGGGTCACAGCATCGCACCATATTAATGGATCGCACAGCCATGCACGTGCGATCCATTAAGATACCTCCATTCATCGAGGTATCTCCAGGGGCAAAAAAAAAGTTGTCCCTCTCACCCCACATACCTCTAGGCAACCCTTATCTTCGCACTGCCGAAGCAATCACCGAAAGATCTCCACACCTTTGCTCTTTTGTTGAATATGCATGCATCAGCGCAGTCGCAGCGATATGAAGCGCCAGCAGCCGACGCCACATAACGCGTGAAAACTGCCCTCCCGCACCCCTTTCATCCTCGAACAGCCAAGCGGAGCAACGAATTCCAGGACCGCGCATTCCACTTGGATGATTAATTTACTGTTTGGGCAGATGCTCACACGGCGCAGGAGGGTCTCGAGCAGGCAATCGCGCACGACGAGGTCCTCCCCGCTGGTATTCCGCATTAGGCCGATTGAATTGTGAATGCCGTAATGACGCTGACGGGTCGAGGCAACACCACCTAGAATAGTCAAGGCCCGTGCACTATAGCATTTCGACGTCATCAAAGATAGGAACACGAGTGCTTCGTCAGCATTCGGCTCGTCCTTGTGTCCGCGTGTCAATGCGTCCAAGGACCATCGGCGTCGGGCTCGACCTGCTCGACTGGCGCCGTTCGCGTGTGATGCCATTACGTCGAAAAGGCCGTTCACGGGCCTTTATTATTATAGGCGTTGTCGATCGACGTCCTTTCACGCTGTCGTCGTCGTCATCGACAAACGCGCCTCGTTTCTCCACCGATTCCAATCACGCGAGGAGGCGATTTTCTGGACTCGCGTCAGCGTGAAAGGGCTTAGTTAGCGGGTAAGACGGACGAAATACTCCATAATTTGGCGTAAACAATACGAGCTTTATTAATATTAATATTAAGAACTAAGAACGCCTACAATGAGACACGCACCATTTTTCTTGCGTCACAAAATAGGACACGGTGAAACATTGCGCTACGACGACAGCATGCAGTTGTTTGGACGCGTCATACACACCAAGACAGTGTTTACAAACACGCCCGCTTTGCCTACACCGATTTGTGGGCACTGCGCGTGCGCAGAAACCAAATTCGGGGGGGAGTGAAGCGTCTGCGCATGCGCGGAACTAACAGCAGCGCCACCACAGTGGCGGGACGTCAGTGTACAGACACTGACAGTTTGTCAAAGGTGGTCAATACTGAGCACGTCACTCCGCAGCCAATGAGATTGTGGCATTAGCCAGAACGCACGAAGCAGAATGGCCGAACATAATGGACACGCCCTGCAGGGCCTGCACTGAGCACCAGAAGCTATAGGCCACCGGTACAGCAGCCCTCTTTCATGTGGGCGGAGCTTCGCACTATATGGGAGTGGCCTCTTCGGCAGATCTTACGCTGCAGCAGACCGATTCAATTTTGTCACAATGTTTTGGTTTTAATTTTTTGAAGTGTTCTTTTCTTCTTTCTTTTCGTCAACGACACGAGTAGCGCAAGGCGGCACAACTATGCTTCTATACCAAGCTTGGTATGCCTCTGTACAAGCGTTTCGGGGCAGTAAAACTGGAAACGCCGATTGGCTGAAAGAAAATGACGTCACTTCCGGTTTTGTTATTTTGTTGATTTTAGATGACGTTTAAAGTAAAAATATATAAAAAGTACTTTTCTTGTTTTTGTTTGTTTTTACTTTTTTTTTTTTTTTTTTTTGCTTGATTCTTTAATTTTGGCTGGTACGGTTCCGTTCTGTTCCGCCTTGGCGCCCTTGGCCGCGGGGGCAATGTTTTTGTTTTCGTTCTACGTTCAGGTGTTGAGTGGCGACGTATTAACCGTCGATAACCAGCTGAAGCAGCTCAAGTTCTCTAGTGGAACGAGGTTGACCGTGCGCAGTGGCAGCCGTTGACAACAAAAACAATGTATGCACTCAGCTTCGCCGGATGAGTGCCGGCGTCGATCGCGAACCGCCAGAGCCGCCAAATACCTCTCGTACATCTCCAAGAACACCAAGAACAGGAGGTATTCATAAAGGTGAGTGTTCACCGCACTTTAGTGCTTCAGTTCCGTTTGGAGTCGTTTGATATAATTTAGTCCGGTGCGTCCGGGAACAAAGGCGCTACCAGAAATGGCGGGAATGGTCGGTCGGTGCTGGATGCTGATGCCATCCAAGCGGATTTGAATTGGGTTTCGTGCGCTCAACGTGTCGATTTGTTTCTTGAGCTGCCTTTACCAACCGCTCGCCCGAAATCGTTCGGTAGAACATGCGGACGTGACGGCTAGCAGAGCCCTCCGCAAAGGCTTAGGAGCGCGCTCACAATTTTGGAAGCTTCCGTATGACCGCAAGTGCTCAATAAGTCGCTATAGCAATGATTGCATGCCATCGACACAGACTTCGATCCAGTTTTTCAACGAGACAGGAAGGCCCAACGAAGCAAGCGTAGAATCTGATGCTTCGCCTGTCACTGTCTGCGCGGGAACACGCCGAGAGGCGCTTAAACGAGCTGCCAGGGCGTAATTAAAAAAAAAAAAAAAATCTAACGCAGGTCTGAACCACGCGAGGATCGTCTCGAAGCATGGTAGCCTCAACAGACGCTTGCCGCCACACGCGAGGAGAAAGCAGGAGGCCCGAAGTTTGAATGTGAAGGTAAAACGTGCTTTAATAATAATGATCTTTATCTGCACGTTCCTTTGTATGACTAAGGTGATCGTGCTGAGACACAATATAGCAGCGATTGCTCTCGAACAAAGGACAGGACAGCAGAAAGGCAATGAGAGGCAGGGAGATAACTGACCTCTCTGTTGTAAAACATTTTTCAGAGGAGGTGCGAAGAGCTGGCCCTCACTTTTTCAAGGCAGCCGCAGAACACTACGAGCCCCGAATCACTGCCGCGGCTGACTCACGCGGATGCTGTGCTGCACCCTGCACTGCACATGGTTCGAAGCACACTTCAGGGGACCAGTGCATGCCCCTGATGCATCGTCGCGGTATGTTTTGTACTGCTTTTCCTAACGGTGCACTGAGCAGTCCAATCTTGAAGGGAGCACGCGAGTGCGTAGCCAGTGCTCCATGCAGCAAGGACCGCAAGCACCCGCGGAAGCTTGGAGCAGACGCAGTGACGCCAGCAGCCGTGCACGCTGGCGTCGTCTGCTACTGTACCGTCCTTTCGTTCGGTGCGCAGAAAAAAAAAGGAGTGACCGCTCTGTTAAAAGTCTGATGGTGAAGGCATCCTTTACAGAAGCACTGTATGGCTCTCTGCACGCTAGAATGGGGGCTGTCGTTGATGCTCGCAGAGGCGTCGCCCACAACTAAGCAGACGATCAAAGTCCTGAGCAGGTGACTAATCGTTTCATTGTTCTTTGGTAGGGAAAGGTAGATAATGTGCTTCTACTCCCAGCTTTGTTTTTTGTTTTTTTTTTTATCACCATTTAGTATGTTACCATCAAAACAGCATCCTGGTGTTCACATAAATATGTGTTAACAATACCTATCGTCAAATATGTGACTCAAAGAGCCAACTGCGGCCGAGGATATCTTTTAAGTGTTCTTTTTCTCACAAAGATCCCTGGCATTGACTTTTTAGCCACATACCTTGAGTCCACAAAAACAATGTGCTTCAGCTAAATGGTATTCACACAAAATACATCCTGACAAGCTGCTTTCACTCTCGAGCCTCGAAGAAATTTTGCAGTTTGATTTGAACTATGTTGCAGGTTAAGGAGGTAGGGTCAGGGAAAAGAAGGTGGGAGAGGAGGAAGCGGGCACAATGCTGGTCAAACCCTCTCCCTTCGCCGGCGTTGCATCCATCTCGTCCTCTCCCACCTTCCTTTTTCTTCCCCTACCTTCTTGAGTTGTCACCGACCATATAAAAGGCATGCATTGATATCACTTGTTCGTTTTGTGGCCATGGCGCCAGCAAGGTTTGAGAAACGTATCCTGCTTCACAGGAATTCAGCACTCAACATGGAGAAACTATTGGCAGTGCTGCTGTAATGTCTTTGTTCTCGTCTTTTGCAGCCATCTAAAAAAGAGAAATATAATACTAGGAACACAGAGCAACGTCACGCGCCAGTACATAGTGTACTACGAAGGGCAGGTAAATTGACTGCGGAACACGATTTTCTCAATGTCCTCACGGTTCTTTCGGCCAAGTACATACAGATAAGACGATTACCATTAGAAATGTTGAACGCCAATCCGAAATGTTTTTTGGCGGTGTGCCGAGCAAAAGGTCATTGCTGCAACAGAAAACATGTGCCATCCTCCGCCTTTGGTGCTTCTGTGTCTGCGCCGAGCTTCCGCAGCCACCAACAGTCAACGCTGCATGGACTGCCCGCCATGCTTTCATGCGTTCCATGTATGATTGGCACGGCATGTGGATGTGTCATGCAAGTGACATCAGCGCTGTTGGCAGTGCCATGCTGGTGGTGGTTGAGCTTTGCTAGGCTCTGACCATTGACAAGCTGTTTTATGCAATAATCGCTCTTGGAAGTCCCCAAACTGTTTTTAGCAATTCAAGTGTCAGATTTTTTTTTAGCTATGGTTATACAGGTTTTCTTTTTTAACATTTACAGATTTCAAAGAAAAAGTGAAAGTTATGACAGTTATAAGTTATACGGCCAGGCGGACATTAGATTCATGGAAGAATGCAGCTAAAAGTCCGTGTAGATCATGTGTATCATGCTTCTCTGCAGCGCAGCTACATACTTGCGTAGGACCACCCCCATGAAGTGGGGTGAGGGGGCTGCATGCGTGTGTTGGGTAGCCCCTCTTGGTTTTACAACTCTACCCTGTTGTAAAATTTTAGATTTTAATGCGAACAAGTTGATAACAAAAAAGAACTTGGTCAACATTGATCTTACAACTAGAGATGTAAAAGGAACAAATATAGAGAACAGCAAAATGTGGAAGAAGACATCTCGCTTCTTTCATTTTCATTTGACTAAGTGACATTGGTCGGCGACTGTAAGACTTTTAATCACAATAGTTATACACCACAGGTCCCGGGGATCATGGCATCGATGAGCTCGCTTTCGCCTTGTCCAAGGTAGCAGCGGAACACTACGGGCAGGCCCGGAGTCACCGTACCGGCTGGCTCACGGGCGTCGTCCTGTACTCTGCACGGCACTGCGTGTGGCTTAACCGGCCAAGCAGAGGGTCACTGCATGACCTTTATGAGGCGTCGCTAGCCATTGTAAGTATATTTTGGACGCTCGTGTCAGGGGATGTACTTTTGTGTTCTACAACAGAACATGTTTGGTGGCGGTTCAGTCTTGCCAATTCAGCTATTTCGAAACATAATTTTGTGGCGACTCGGCTTAGGTTTTCTGGCTCGGCCGTCTTTTGCACCAGTGTCTAGGCTCGGCGTAAGCCTCTTTGTTCTTTATTGTCAAGGCTAGTGTAATTTCTGCTACGCCGTCGAAGCAACTTCTGCATGCGAACAAGATGCAAGACGAAGCTACATGCTCGTGCACAGTGCATGACCACATGTGAAAACTAATAGCGAGTTTGTTTCGCTGCACTCGTGCCCATGCGCACCCACTCGCAACATGAAGTGAGTTTGTTTCGCCGCCGGCACTCCACACGTGCATGCGCTCGCAGCACCCTGAGAATTAAGTGTGTACCTGAATGCACTCCCGTCATGCATCACTTAGGCAGGGAACAAGAGCAGATGACTGGTTTGTCCACCATGCGGGACAGTAGAACTGCAGAAAAAGTGAATTTCTGCTAAAAAAATGATGTCCCACGAGCAACAAAATCGGACACGAGCTTGAATTGTGTGTCTGCTATTCTATAAAGCAAGCAATCCACAACCTGTGCTTAATTTGCAAGTTTTCAGTCATTTTGTTGCCGTACAGACGTCCAAATACACCGGTGGATAAAGAAAGGTTCAGAACGAACATCAGCCACCGCGAGATATCTCTCACCATCCGTGCGGGGCTAAAGAGTTGGGACGTTAGTTGACAAAGCTTGCCCGGCAGAAACCTGCGACGCGTCCAATCGGGAGCCGAGAAAGCTAAACTGCTTTTACCCGAGGCTTGGATAAAATCACAGTGTTTAAAAAGGAGCCATGGAATTTATTTTGGGTGGGATAAATTAATTTAGATTCGTATTTTGCTAATACAGTTGAACCTTTCAAGAACGAAATTCTCGCGGCAACGAAGAAATCTGGCGGCCCCAGCGAACGTCCATAGGGTTCAATGCATTTGCACCCTCTCAACAGCAAAGAGTTTTTAAAAAGCAGTCCCGCATTAACGAAAGTTTGAGGTAGTGATCTGCCATAGAGTTATTCAATGTGTCTACCAAGTTGGCATTTTCAAATTCCCTGAGTTTTTCAGGTTTCCCCTGAGTACTTTTGTGAAATTCCCTGAGTGACACAGAACTTTGTTTTAGGTCAAGATGGGCGGACACCATGTCGCCAGATGCTGTCACTCTCTAAAAAGCATGTCATAAAATAAAATAACAACACAATACAGTTTTGATGATAGCGAGTAACTTTTATTAGATTTAAAAAGAAAACAGAACGAAGTGGTTAGTAAAATTGATAGCGAATAAAGTATAAAAAAAGGTAAACTGAGGTTTACGTGACGCCCCCAGGTCTGGTCATGTGACCTCAGGGGGGGGGTGTCGAGACCTGACGGTGACGCCGCTCAAGCCGGAAACGGGAGCAATAACGGGGAAAGGAAAGGGTAAACAAACATAAGGCGTTCAAAGTGTGATTGCTCAACCCTTGTTGTCAAAACACTCCACCTGACAAAATCTTTTTTTTTTTTTTTTTTTTTGGGGGGGGGGGGGGGGGGGGGCTAAGGAGGTCGCACAGTGACAGCGGTGTTTGGGAAAATGAGCGCACGCGACCGTTCCAACAGCGAGCACTCCCTGCCCTCCCCACGCGCGCAGGTGCCCTTCCCCTTGCTTTTGCCATCCTCCACTTCTTTTGTTTTTATTGGTTGCTTTTTTTATTTTTTATACAATTGCTTTTTCGCTGCGCATCCCCGCGTGCGCATTCCCGGGTGCGCGTATGCTAGCTTGGCGGTCTGCCAGCCCCGCAACCCGAGCTATGTGCTCCCGGCCGGCGCAATCCGACCTATAGGGAGAAGCGAAGAACCGCCTTCGTCTTCGTTCCCTACATCGAGTGTCCCCTCCATGGGAGTTATGGGCATTCGATACAGAAAAACAATGCAATTTTCTAGGGGATGTTTGGACTGTTTCATATAAACAATAATTCGAAATACGGGTGTGATATAACCGGGTTCGACAGTATGTTTGGCCGTCTCCCTCAATTTCCAGATACCTTCGTTCGTTTGGCACATATATCACCGATGCTAGAAAGCGCCGACGTCGTGTTCGCGCTGAGAGTGTCCGACAGTGCACATAAATACACGTGCGAAGCCGTTTTTGCACCATTTTTTTTTTTCCCCCATAGAAATGCATTACCGGAAGTCAATTTTCGACTGGTTGCTGTCTGCTTCAACTTGCGTCGGCACACTAGCGCCACTTGAACCTCTAGCGTACATTATAATAACCCTATGTGATCTGCAACATTTTTTCGTCACATGAGCCAGTTTGGAACCCAGAATTACGAAAAGTGGAGCAGTACACTCGTCCGGCAAGTTGGGCACATGCGTTTCCAACAAGCATCAGCGCGGCCATTGCTGTTTACATTCGGTCAAAAAATAATGACAATAGCAACTAGATTCTTTTTTTTTTTTGGTTGGTGAAAACAGCGTTTTGCAAGCCCATCTGTTGGCAACTACCAAGGTATGTGACGTTTCACGTGACGACACCGCCCGCTGCTATTTCGCCGACACCGCAGTTGCTGACGAGCTAATGCTCTTCAGCAACTGACGGATTAGCTCCTCCCGCATCGAATACGCGGCAAAGAAGTTTGTCACATCGCGGCAATTTCAGGCGATCGATTAATTAGTTCTATCCAATTTTTACTAAGAATTGTTTACAAATGTAAAATTGCTCGCTGAAAAGCACATCACACATTAGTGGTATGCGCAATTGGGACCGAAAAATTAAACATGCAAACGGTAGGAATTCATAGCAGGTGTATACCTAATTTTTTGGGATGCTAATTGTCACCGACTTACTAAATTTAAGGCTTCGGTCGCGAGGGGGTCTCGCATGCTTCACGTCGATCGAGTGAACAAGCAGGGATTTCATTGAGACGACTCTGGAAGCCAGCCACCGTCAATGCCAGTTGTTTTGAGGAAATGTTTGTTTACTGGTTTAAAAAGACCAAAAATGAATCAACTTGGGACTAATAAGAAATCAGCACTTACAAAACACATCGGAACCACCAAGATACACGGAGTCGCTTTCACTGAAGTGTTTACTACACAGGTTAGAGATTCCCGAATTTCGCTTTCCTATTTTCAATTTAATGAGACATTTCTTTCTCAGCTTTATTTTGTCTGAATAATAATAAAATAAATACACCCTATTCGCCATGCTAGCTAGATGTTGTAGTGGGGTAAAGCGCTGGATATTCTATTTTAATCGTCCATCTTTTTGTACTGGGGTGGAGAACAGTACATCACCATCCCAGCATTTCGACACCTTAGTGCCAAAAGTGTTTGTTAGCATGACTACGCGTGGCACGGTTTCAAGTATAACTTCACCAAATAAAAACAATGCGCGAAATGGGCTTTGCTGCGCGATACAGCGCATAACGCTGACTGTCGAGCCGAAGGTTCCAAGATCTGCGCAGTCTGTCCCAGTGTGCCCTACCCGTAACAACAAAAACGACGATGATGATAGCTAGTTAGCGCATGCCGCCAAAGAGTTGTAAACTGCGGTCGTTCCGTCCGGAGTTGTCTGTCTTCGATCCTGCTCATTCCGTATCATGTAGGGGAGAGTATGCCATCCTGCTGGCCTACTGTCGCACACTGCCAGTGTTAAACTTTCAGAACTCTATGAGCCGAGAAATTGATGGAGAGGGGGAGACGAGAGTGCAGGGACATCAGAACGCAGAGGCACCTAAACCTAGGTGCCTTTGTCTTCACTGCACTTGTCAAAGACGTTCGAGTGCGAGAGCCAAACGCCGGGGGTGGCCTTTGGCATTGGCATCCCAATACGTTCGACGAGTGCAGTGGAGACAAAGGCAGCCTTTGTTTCTGCTGCACTCGTCGAACACATTCGAATGCAGAACGCCGGTATCCAGCTTTGGGCTCTCGCATTCGAACGTCTTTGACGAGTGCAGTAAAGACAAAGGCACCTAGCTTTAGGTGTACCCACTAATCATTCGAACCAGAGCTCGGGTGTCCTGACATCCACACCTGCTCTCGTCCTCACTTTTCCCTCAGTTTCTTGGCAGATTTTAGGGGAAACTGTGTGGGTGGGGGAAGGGGGGGGGGGGGGGGGGGGGACGGCCCCCCCTGGAGCCTTTGAGGTTAACTTTTTCTAAAAAAAATGGACTTATGCCGGCTTTTGTTAGGAAGAAATTAAGTTTTTGACAACGTGACTAGTACACTCGGTTGGAAAACTGCTATAGGAGCCTCCTTTGAAAAAGTGGCTTCAATCTATATGAGAGAATCAAACTAAACGCAATCGCAATGCCACTGTTTCTCCCGCGGTGGCCACTCCGTGAACTACACTGCTGCACTGACTGGTTCCGTAGATTCTCGGAAGGGCCACTGGTGTCATCTCGCAGGGCCATCTTGGAGTAGCTATGCAAGGCAACTTTCATGTTTTGACTTGTTGCTAAAGAGTGGCACTGTTATCATATTTAGTTTGGTCTCGGTGGACGCCAGCAGTCCAGGTTCCAAGGTTGAGTTTCCTAGCTGAGTGTTTTAGTAACGTTGGTTTTTGGTGGCATAACAAATATTAGCTAAACAAAACAGATCTTGCCCTGCATGTTAGGGTCAGATATTAGTTACTGTTCACCTGATCGACCCCTTTGTTCTCTGCATTCATCATAGGTTTCAAATCGTCCTGATTCATGGGCCAAGCCTTTCAAGACTGCACTCTTAGCCCCAGTCCTTTTTGGTGGATCGGATCTTGCCATCTTCCCCTCTCGTGGCTTCCTGTTGTACTTAAATAAATTGTCATATTTTTTTCTTATGGTGGTGCATACGTTTTGCCACACTTCACAAAAACAGTGTGGTGAATCCATGCCGCAGATTACTGTGAAACGTGCAGGAAGGGTAAACTCCGAAAAGGTTTATGGAAAGAAGATAGACATCCCCCATTAATTTTTTCTGGACACTCTAAGCGTGCTATCTACGCAGTATTTCTGCCTATCATGGCATCGGCTTTTGACCATTCACGCTTGCAAGGAAAGGCTATCGGCAAGAAGGGTTACGAAGTCTGTGTTCTGTTTGCATTTAATTACTGAAACAAGATTTATAGACTTTACCAAGTGTATTTTAACATAACTAAATGTTTAAACTTTAGATCTTTATTTTAAACTTTACCATTATTTTAAGAAGTTTTTGCTGGGGTAAATGTTTTCCATAAGTTTTTTTTTTTTTTTCTTTTATATATCGGATAAAGGGATTACATTTGTTCTCCGAGTTTTTATAGAAGCCCCATCGCTATCACCATCACTATTTTGATTTTTCCAAGATGGCCATTTTTGTTTCGCGAACGTTCTGCGAGGAGAGTTCGGCGACTTGCGTGACTTACGAACAGAACTGCCTAATTGGTATGTTAATTTTGGTGGCTACTTATCGCGGAATATCGTGGGTATCTTGTATTTGTACAAGAACTAGTATTTAAGGTTCAGATTGTTCGTACAGAACGTTAGCTCGGCGGGTCCAGTCTCTTCTAAATTGCTTGGTTGCCTTTTGTCCACGTTTATTTCCCTCCCAAACCCATCACACACTGGTTCATTTTCTGTTTCCAGTACCTACAATTGAGTAAATTGTTTTAGAGGAGGGGATGCCCAGCTTCAGCAGCTTCAATGTGCGAGGAACACTCCAGCCCCCTCAACAAAGCTGGAGGTGCGGATAGAGTTGAGATTTTAACTGATGTTATGCAGTAGTAAGTCATGACATTTTTGTATTTATGTCGTGCATCGGCCGTAAAGCGAAACTTACGTTGCGTAGGTTACATAGGACGTAACTAACTTTTATTTTGGGTTCTGTTCGTCATAGCTTTAATTTTCATATTAGGTTACGTCGGACCAAACTTTATTTTTCATATTGGGTACCTTAGATGTAACTCGAAATCTTGGGGTAAGGTTACGCTAGACACTGCGTTGAAAGATGCACTTTTATTTTTTTGAAAAGTATTCTTTAACTTACGGCAGTGGCGAATAGCACTTGTGTTGATGAGATGTTTTGATTCCGCATGTCCGGAAAGTTGCCGGGGCAGCTGTCGACTATCTATATAGGACGGTAATGTTGCAGGTACAAAAGTGAATAATACACCGTGTTGAATATTTATTTATTGGTCTTTTTCGGCAGTGCCGCTTGTGCCTGGACAATGGAAGATGATGCAAAGGCCAAAAGAAAGCTACTCTGCATCTGCACTCTGAATAATGTGATGTCTCGGTAGCTACACATGCTTTGTTAAAGGGAAGTTTATTTCGCCACTTGCTAGGCATCATTGAGGTGATTTGGCTGTGTGCCTTTATTTTATGCTAATAGAATGTACTGCACTTACAACTGCTTGTTGTTGGTGCAGCCTACAACAATCAGTTGCAAAGGAGCACCGTTTAGTGAATCCATTCGATTAACATAAGCAAGTCTGGAAGATGCTAAAGACTAGAGCATGATGCACTGAGGCATGTTGACCTATGCTTGAGCACCCACTCTCCTCTCTTGGGCTGTAAACCAGGCAAAATGTAAAATTATTCTTGCGAAAACAGCAGGGATGTGGCATGCATATAAACTTGTCGATCATGCTCTGAATATGCTGGCCGCCCAAGCGAGCGACTCACTGACTGACTGGCTCGGCTTTGCCATCAGCCAAGGCAGGACAAGCAAATGCTAGAGCAAGCAGTCAAGTTCGGTGAATTTTGTTTTTCTAAAAACAAATTTGCTAAAAGGAGATTCGTTGCCATTTCCTCTAAACGGAGTGCCTTCTTGAAAGAATTCAATAAAAAAGGGGGTTTCAAAACTTGTGCTTGGAAAAATAGATGCCTCTGCTCGGGCCGTACACATCAACTTTCTTAGATCTGTCGGTTGACAAGCTCCATAAAAGAGCAGCAGTAAAAAAAAAAAAAAAAAAAAAAAAATTGAGACGTTTACAATTCTTTGTAACATGAAATTAGAGCGCAGCGCTTCAGTAGGAGGAGGGGAGGTTATGCCTCTCCTATCCCTCCATACCCTCTCCTCCCCCTCCCATTTAGCAGGCAATTTTCGCTAAATTTCCTGCTAAATTTAGCAAGAATTTCCCCGCTAAATTTAGCGGTTTAAGTTTCCTCTCTAAATCTTGTGGGGAAATTCATGTCACACAACCTCAACACCAATTCAGTTTCCCCGCTATATTTAGCAGGGAAACTGAATTGGTGTTGAGGAAACAACCCTGCTAAATGGCACATGACTTCATGCCACGTCACTCACAAACAAATTCAGTTCCTCAGCTAGATTTAGCAGAAAAATTGACATTGCGTGACCTCAACACAAATTCAATTTCTCACTAAATTCAGCAAGGTGATCATGCAGACGGCGACGCAATGAAGCGTGGAAATGGGCACCTAAGAGCTGCACTCTAAACCAGTTTTTCTCTGTTGCCGGTGCACAAGCAGGTAAAAGCGGATAGCATTCCTAGTGCCAATTCCTTTGCGGTCAACGAAAAACGCTTTTTGAACAACGCTCTTTCTGTTTTAAGTATTGTGCAGGCCTTAAGTTTACTATAAGAACAACAACAACAAAAAAATCACTTTCCACTGCAGGTAATGTGCATCCAACGTTCCACTGGATCTGTCCGAAGGGCAGGCTGATACTGCGGCAGACGCCACTGAGCGGACACACTGCAAAAAGGCGTCGGGCGTTTTCCGAAGTTTGTCAACTGACCTAGATCTGAGAACGTTGGTACATGTATTGCTACCGTTGCCAAGCAGGACTGGAGATTGTTAGAGTGTGAACAATGTTCACACTTTGGTCAATGCAAGCACATCTTTTTTTTTTTAGTAATATTGACTAACAAGATTGCAGCAATCAAACAAGTTAACACCGAAATGTTAAAAGCAATAAAGAAATTAAAGCCCGGCTGTTCTGCGAGTGCAGATTTTATATCTTGCTTTATTTTAAGGGCTGCACTGATTTGTTTGCCCCTTCATTAATGGGGCCCTGCAACCATATTTAAGCGTCTACCTTTTTTGCGGTTTCCACGTCTCTTGGCGTTCAGGCAAGCCAGCGGGCACGGAGAAAGTAACTAAATGTCAGTGCGTCATATTTTAACCGGCCGACGCAGAAACCTCCTTTACCTACGGGGGCGACCCGCATTGCTGAAAGCGCGCGAAATGCGACGTCTTTGGTCCTGGGCTTACTAGTGGTCGGAGCCGCTAAAAGCTAAAAGAACCGTTTCAATTATTTGTGAAAGTAGTTTTTGTTCAGTATTTTAGACCAGAAAAGAAACAAATGCAGTTTATAAAGTACGGAAACAAGAAACGACCCTTCGACATACCTGCCACCCAAGCGGTGGAAAAGGCGGCGCATACTAGAAAGGTGTAGTGGGATCAGGCAATGACGAGGGCAAGCGTAGAAAGGTCTCGGGTGTATGCGGCGGCGCTGCAGTCGAAAATCCGACCGGTTCCGAGCATTCCAAAGGCCTTCGGCGAGCAGCTTTGGCTTGCGGTTTGGCCCTTTGGCGGTATGGCAGTGCGAAGTGGCTCCCGTTCTGAACTGATCTTTACCCCGTGTTTGCTGTCGTTTGTGACCAATGAAGTGTCATGCCGAATTAGTGTTTAATCGTGCAGCAAATGCAATGCGAGCCCCCCTGGCTGCCCGCTTCATACAGCCTTTCCAGAACATGCTATATGGCGCCCTCTCGAGCTGTTGACACGGAGCGCTCGCTGAGCTCACTTAGCCCTCTTCTAGTTCATGGCCACTCGAGCGACCAAGGACGTCATGAAAAAGGTTATGTTTTGCTTGTTCTTGTAATTTTAATGTGCCTATAACTTTTAAAATAAAGCGAAATTCGAGAAAAGAAAAGTTTAATTAAGTTGCACTGACTATGTTCAGTGCGCTCAGGTTCGGTGCAAATGAAAAACCAGTCAAAAAGCCCTTGCAGGGCCCCTTTAAAGCATGCATTTCATCTCCGAGAAGTTGTGATTTTTCATTGTTGTGGAAGAGGTCTCATAGCACCAGTGAAGGACGATGGTGATATGTCTAGGGTAGACAGTCACTGCCTGGGTCTTTAATATAAGCTTTGAAAGAGTCTATAGTCAGTTGCAACCTAAGAACGAAGGGCGTGGGTAAGACGTGTTGGGGAGGAGGAAGCAGGCGGAACACTAAAGAGAGAAGGAGGTTTCCCCCTCTCTTCTCCAGCGTTCCGTCTGCTTCCTCCTCCCCGGCCCATCTTACCCTCGCCCTTAGGTTGCAACGGACTATAGATAGTTGTACACAGACATGGGTCTCTTTACTCCAGTTAAAAACAGCACCATTCAATGGAATTTTTTTAGGTTGTCAGTAGAAATGTTTTTGTAAACTTGAATACAAGGCACCATCCGTTTTTCTCACTGAAGCAAGTTGATATTTTTTCTTTCTATTTATAACTAGCTTTTGACAAGATCAATTACAAATTGCTTTTGTAAAAACCTCTATTGTATGGTGTAGCACTGCCACTTTTAAAATGGTTTAATGAAGTCCCTCACAAGATGAGAATGGCTATGAGAAGCCTCAGTTGCCCTGCCTCCAGCAAGAGAGCTTCCTACCTTCGGCAACGCGTAGAGGCGGGACATTTGTAAGACACACCCAGCCGTTCGCATTCCATTCAGCAATGCTTAGGCATCTTGCAAACCTCAAGAATGCACGCACAGCCAAAGCATGAGGAAAGGCGATGAGTGCTCGCTGGAGGCTGAGCTATAAGACATGTCCTGCATTTCTCATCTTCCCTGCGATTATTAGCACCGAGATGTTATCCTATTTCGCTCGCAACATCACGGGCGGTTTGATACTTCAACCCTATCACGGCGGTTTGATACTTCAACCCTATGTTCCAGGTGAGAAAAAAAAAAGTGCCTTTCATGGAAGGCTTGTCAAAATAATAGGCGCCAGAGAGTAACGGCCATCTGCGTTCAGTCCTTATTTAGAACCCTATGTTCATGTTCTGCGGCCGCATTGAAAAGTACTGCAAGAGAGCCCAAGTGTGCTCCTGATCTCGCCCCACCAGTCTCCTCCTGCACAATAAATTGACTGCTACGGTCACCAAATGTCAATAGATGCACATTCGAACGCAGCAACTGAAGCCAGCTACAGACACAGTATCTTTCAAAGTATCTTTGAAAGATATCTTTGTATCAAAGCTACAGACACAGTATCTTTCCAAACAGACTGCAGGTCACCCCTCACTTGGGCGAGGGGGGTGACTCGTGTGGTCTGCTTCTGCGGTCTCCAAAAATATTTTCGTAAACAACTCCCACATCTACCTACAGTAAAATAAGCAATATTCAAAACTTAAAAAAAAAAAAAAAAAAAAAAAAGCCGTTTACGACTTTCTGTAACGCCGGATTAGAGCGCAGCTCTTGAGGAGGAGGATGAAAGGATACGGAGGGATGGGTGACGCCCTGAGGGCCCCCTCGCTTTCGCGCTGCGGGGCAGTCCCAGACACGAAGCTTTGAGGTTCTCCGGCGCGGGCTGCGGCACCCCAACACATGTGTGCTGGGCTGTACATGTCTGTTTTTTCGTTCTTTTTTTTTTTTCCTCGGGCGCTTAAAAGCCGAAGTCCCAAGTCTACTCGTCGAACAGCGTTCACCCACACCTTCTCCAGTTTTTGGTCCGTTGGAAACTAGTGAAAAAGCACCTCCGTGTTGCACAGCAGGTTGTTTGAGCAGCCCACAGCGCTACAAGTTGTACTCGGCATCTTTTGAGGAACAGCTAGGCAGTCTTGGGCGCACCAAGTTGCTCGCTAAAACGAGTCTTGGAGTCCTCACAAGCAGATAAACAAAAGGCTATAGCGAAGCTACATGGGCTACAGATAAAATCAACGGCTAAACACGCCAATCACAAGCCGAAGTACCGGTGGTAGCGGCTCGAAGAAACGCACTCCGCGCAACGCCCGGGCCGGAGGAAAAGAGAACGATACTGACGTCACGGCGCAATGTTGCTTTAGCGATCGCCAACCCGCTGGCCGCCCGCTAAGAAGCAGCGGCTTGCGGCAGGTCACATTTTTATTATCGGCATTAGTTGAGAATGCGGCGTCCCACGGACGTAATATTTTGGCTGAGGTCGTATTTTGTGTGTCTACAACGATACCAGTAATTTATTTCATTTTGAGTTTTGGCCGGAGTTGCCCTTTAAGTTGGTCAGAGTATCTGACTGCAAAGGGTTAATAATCCATTTTTAATCGACATAGAGGCGAACTAACTAGCCACTCGGCGCTTTGACGTAGCGCGTCGTCTGCTCGATCCTACCAGCACCGCTACAGGAAGGCGTCCGCGAGATGAAACCAGCAAAACATCTCGTCGCCAATGGTGACACAGTGGTCGAGTCTAACATGTGAGCTAGGGCCGGCTCACGTGCTTTGGGTACCACGGATGTGTCGCACTGAAAATGCGGAAAGCTTTTGAGGGAAAGGAAGTACAAAATAGTCCGTCATGTTTTCAAATTTTCGTACCGAAAAGCAGACTTTTGACTCTCGGCCCGCTGAACAATATGTTACAGTTGAACCCCGTTGTCACAGGGTTCTTTGTGGTTAATAATTGACAAAATACAATGTCCTTCGTTTTTCATGAAAACTTGTATTTACAAAAAAAAAATCGAAGGGTTCATATGCTTATACAAAAAAAAAAAACTTAGTTAAAGAAATGAAAGAAAGGAAAACGCATCAGTCACCATGTCTTTAAGTCCCTGTGCAGCAGTGTGTCTTGTGCTGTCGTTGTCGGCCCACGGTTGTGGCTGGAAGTCAGGAGCGGGAGCGGTTGGCTTCCGTCGGCGGCCCCAGAGTTACCGCACCAAGCGCTCCCGCTGTAGGAAGCCGGGGGCAGCGTAGGTTTCTATTCGCTGCCCTTGCTGGAACAGGCTGCTGGTCAGACAGTAGGAGGCCGCCGATTGCCCTGGCCGATCGTGTCGTTCCGCTCTCTGCACAATCTCCCGGCCAGTCCTTTTCACGCCCTCTGAGCACGCACTCCAAAATCCCTCTTCTTCGTTTCTCCCTCCAGGCCGATCCATGGGTTGACTTGCACTTCTTCTTTTCCACATTAAGTCACATCATCACACCCGTAATAACCAAACCGCGGGGGAAGGAAACATTTTTTGTTCTCGCGAGAATTTCGCTGCTGCAGAAATGGACAACTAAGCACACCTATTACTTTTCATGATGCTGTCCTTGGATTTCAGAATCGTAGAAAGCGAGAAGCAAATGATACTGAACTCCTCTGTAATATCAGACTTCTTTCTGGCTTTGGCAGTGATCGCAGAGTTCTCCTGAAGTGCAAAAAACTTAAACTTTTTAATGGGAGGCGGCATCTTTCCGACAGGCCAAACGAAAGCTAGTAAACAAGGCGCGAGCGATCTCGGCGTGCACGCGGCGGACGGCAAAATAGCAGCAGGCGGTGTCGTCGCGTACCTAGGTAGTTGCCAACAGATGGGCTAGCAAAACGCTGTTTTCACCAACCCCCCAAAAAAAGCATCTAGTTGCCATTGTCATCATTATTTGACCGAATGTAAACAGCAATGGCCGCGCCGATGCTTGTCGGAAACGTATGTGCCCAACTTGTCGGACGAGTGTACTGCTCCATTTTTCACAATTCTGGGTTCCAAACTGGCTCATTTGACGAAAAAATGTTGCAGATCGCGTAGGGTTATTGTAATGTACGCTAGAGGTTCAAGTGGTGCTAGTGTGCCGACGCAAGTTGAAGCAGACAGCAACCAGTCGAAAATTGACTTCCGGTAATGCATTTCTATGGGGAAAAAAAAAACGGTGCAAAAACGGCTTCGCACGTGTATTTATGTGCACTGTCGGACACTCTCAGCGCGAACACAACGTCGGCGCTTTCTAGCATCGGGGATATACGTGCCAAACGAACGAAGGTATCTGGAAATTAAGGGGGACGGCCAAACATACTGTCGAACCCGGTTATATCACACCCGTATTTCGAATTATTGTTTATATGAAACAGTCCAAACATCCCCTAGAAAATTGCATTGTTTTTCTGTATCGAATGCCCATAACTCCCATCGAGGGGACACTCGATGTAGCGAACGAAGGCCGTTCTTCGCTTCTCCCTATAGGTCGGATTGCGCAGGCCGGGAGCACACAGCTCGGGTTGCAAGGATGGCAGACCGCCAACCCAGCATACGCGCACGCGGGGATGCGATGCGCAGCGAAAAAGCAATTGTATAAAAAATAAAAAAGCAACCAATAAAAACAAAAGAAGTGGAGGATGGCAAAAGCAAGGGGAAGGGCACCTGCGCGCGTGGGGAGGGCAGGGAGTGCCCGCTGTTGGAACGGTCGCGTGCGCTCATTTTCCCAAACACCGCTGTCACTGTGCGACCTCCTTAGCCCCAAAATAAATAAAAAAAAAAAAAAAAAAAAATGATTTTGTTAGGTGGAGTGTTTTGACAACAAGGGTTGAGCAATCGCACTTTGAACGCCTTATGTTTGTTTACCCTTTCCTTTCCCCGTTATTGCTCCCGTTTCCGGCTTCAGCGGCGTCGCCGTCAGGTCTCGACACCCCCCCCCCCCCCGAGGTCACATGACCAGACCTGGGGGGGTCACGTAAACCTCAGTTTACCTTTTTTTATACTTTATTCGCTATCAATTTTACTAACCACTTCGTTCTGTTTTCTTTTTAAATCTAATAAAAGTTACTCGCTATCATCAAAACTGTATTGTGTTGTTATTTTATTTTATGACATGCTTTTTAGAGAGTGACAGCATCTGGCGACATGGTGTCCGCCCATCTTGACCTAAAACAAAGTTCTGTGTCACTCAGGGAATTTCACAAAAGTACTCAGAGGAAACCTGAAAAACTCAGGGAATTTGAAAATGCCAACTTGGTAGACACATTGAATAACTCATGGCAGATCACTACCTCAAACTTTCGTTAATGCGGGACAGCTTTTTAAAACTCTTTGCTGTTGAGAGGGTGCAAATGCATTGAACCCTATGGACGTTCGCTGGGGCCGCCAGATTTCTTCGTTGCCGCGAGAATTTCGTTCTTGAAAGGTTCAACTGTATTAGCAAAATACGAATCTAAATTAATTTATCCCACCCAAAATAAATTCCATGGCTCCTTTTTAAACACTGTGATTTTATCCAAGCCTCGGGTAAAAACAGTTTAGCTTTCTCGGCTCCCGATTGGACGCGTCGCAGGTTTCTGCCGGGCAAGCTTTGTCAACTAACGTCCCAACTCTTTAGCACCGCACGGATGGTGAGAGATATCTCGCGGTGGCTGATGTTCGTTCTGAACCTTTCTTTATCCACCGGTGTATTTGGACGTCTGTACGGCAACAAAATGACTGAAAACTTGCAAGTTAAGCACAGGTTGTGGATTGCTTGCTTTATAGAATAGCAGACACACAATTCAAGCTCGTGTCCGATTTTGTTGCTCGTGGGACGTCATTTTTTTAGCAGAAAGTTCACTGTTTCTGCAGTTCTACTGTCCCGCATGGTGGACAAACCAGTCATCTGCTCTTGTTCCCTGCCTAAGTGATGCATGACGAGAGTGCATTCAGGTACACACTTAATTCTCAGGGTGCAGCGAGCGCATGCACGTGTGGAGTGCCGGCGGCGAAACAAACTCACTTCATGTTGCGAGTGGGTGCGCATAGGCACGAGTGCAGCGAAACAAACTCGCTATTAGTTTTCACATGTGGTCATGCACTGTGCACGAGCATGTAGCTTCGTCTTGCATCTTGTTCACATGCAGAAGTTGCTTCGACGGCGTAGCAGAAATTACACTAGCCTTGACAATAAAGAACAAAGAGGCTTACGCCGAGCCTAGACACTGGTGCAAAAGACGGCCGAGCCAGAAAACCTAAGCCGAGTCGCCACAAAATTATGTTTCGAAATGGCTGAATTGGCAAGACTGAACCGCCACCAAACATGTTCTGTTGTAGAACACAAAAGTACATCCCCTGACACGAGCGTCCAAAATATACTTACAATGGCTAGCGACGCCTCATAAAGGTCATGCAGTGACCCTCTGCTTGGCCGGTTAAGCCACACGCAGTGCCGTGCAGAGTACAGGACGACGCCCGTGAGCCAGCCGGTACGGTGACTCCGGGCCTGCCCGTAGTGTTCCGCTGCTACCTTGGACAAGGCGAAAGCGAGCTCATCGATGCCATGATCCCCGGGACCTGTGGTGTATAACTATTGTGATTAAAAGTCTTACAGTCACCGACCAATGTCACTTAGTCAAATGAAAATGAAAGAAGCGAGATGTCTTCTTCCACATTTTGCTGTTCTCTATTTTTGTTCCTTTTACATCTCTAGTTGTAAGATCAATGTTGACCAAGTTCTTTTTTGTTATCAACTTGTTCGCATTAAAATCTAAAATTTTACAACAGGGTAGAGTTGTAAAACCAAGAGGGGCTACCCAACACACGCATGCAGCCCCCCCACCCCACTTCATGGGGGTGGTCCTACGCAAGTATGTAGCTGCGCTGCAGAGAAGCATGATACACATGATCTACACGGACTTTTAGCTGCATTCTTCCATGAATCTAATGTCCGCCTGGCCGTATAACTTATAACTGTCATAACTTTCACTTTTTCTTTGAAATCTGTAAATGTTAAAAAAGAAAACCTGTATAACCATAGCTAAAAAAAAATCTGACACTTGAATTGCTAAAAACAGTTTGGGGACTTCCAAGAGCGATTATTGCATAAAACAGCTTGTCAATGGTCAGAGCCTAGCAAAGCTCAACCACCCCCAGCATGGCACTGCCAACAGCGCTGATGTCACTTGCATGACACATCCACATGCCGTGCCAATCATACATGGAACGCATGAAAGCATGGCGGGCAGTCCATGCAGCGTTGACTGTTGGTGGCTGCGGAAGCTCGGCGCAGACACAGAAGCACCAAAGGCGGAGGATGGCACATGTTTTCTGTTGCAGCAATGACCTTTTGCTCGGCACACCGCCAAAAAACATTTCGGATTGGCGTTCAACATTTCTAATGGTAATCGTCTTATCTGTATGTACTTGGCCGAAAGAACCGTGAGGACATTGAGAAAATCGTGTTCCGCAGTCAATTTACCTGCCCTTCGTAGTACACTATGTACTGGCGCGTGACGTTGCTCTGTGTTCCTAGTATTATATTTCTCTTTTTTAGATGGCTGCAAAAGACAAGGACAAAGACATTACAGCAGCACTGCCAATAGTTTCTCCATGTTGAGTGCTGAATTCCTGTGAAGCAGGATAAGTTTCTCAAACCTTGCTGGCGCCATGGCCACAAAACGAACAAGTGATATCAATGCATGCCTTTTATATGGTCGGTGACAACTCAAGAAGGTAGGGGAAGAAAAAGGAAGGTGGGAGAGGACGAGATGGATGCAACGCCGGCGAAGGGAGAGGGTTTGACCAGCATTGTGCCCGCTTCCTCCTCTCCCACCTTCTTTTCCCTGACCCTACCTCCTTAACCTGCAACATAGTTCAAATCAAACTGCAAAATTTCTTCGAGGCTCGAGAGTGAAAGCAGCTTGTCAGGATGTATTTTGTGTGAATACCATTTAGCTGAAGCACATTGTTTTTGTGGACTCAAGGTACGTGGCTAAAAAGTCAATGCCAGGGATGTTTGTGAGAAAAAGAACACTTAAAAGATATCCTCGGCCGCAGTTGGCTCTTTAGGTCACATATTTGACGATAGGTATTGTTAACACATATTTATGTGAACACCAGGATGCTGTTTTGATGGTAACATACTAAATGGTGATAAAAAAAAAAAAAAAAAAAACAAAGCTGGGAGTAGAAGCACATTATCTACCTTTCCCTACCAAAGAACAATGAAACGATTAGTCACCTGCTCAGGACTTTGGTCGTCTGCTTAGTTGTGGGCGACGCCTCTGCGAGCATCAACGACAGCCCCCATTCTAGCGTGCAGAGAGCCATACAGTGCTTCTGTAAAGGATGCCTTCACCATCAGACTTTTAACAGAGCGGTCACTCCTTTTTTTTTCTGCGCACCGAACGAAAGGACGGTACAGTAGCAGACGACGCCAGCGTGCACGGCTGCTGGCGTCACTGCGTCTGCTCCAAGCTTCCGCGGGTGCTTGCGGTCCTTGCTGCATGGAGCACTGGCTACGCACTCGCGTGCTCCCTTCAAGATTGGACTGCTCAGTGCACCGTTAGGAAAAGCAGTACAAAACATACCGCGACGATGCATCAGGGGCATGCACTGGTCCCCTGAAGTGTGCTTCGAACCATGTGCAGTGCAGGGTGCAGCACAGCATCCGCGTGAGTCAGCCGCGGCAGTGATTCGGGGCTCGTAGTGTTCTGCGGCTGCCTTGAAAAAGTGAGGGCCAGCTCTTCGCACCTCCTCTGAAAAATGTTTTACAACTGAGAGGTCAGTTATCTCCCTGCCTCTCATTGCCTTTCTGCTGTCCTGTCCTTTGTTCGAGAGCAATCGCTGCTATATTGTGTCTCAGCACGATCACCTTAGTCATACAAAGGAATGTGCAGATAAAGATCATTATTATTAAAGCACGTTTTACCTTCACATTCAAACTTCGGGCCTCCTGCTTTCTCCTCGCGTGTGGCGGCAAGCGTCTGTTGAGGCTACCATGCTTCGAGACGATCCTCGCGTGGTTCAGACCTGCGTTAGATTTTTTTTTTTTTTTTTTTAATTACGCCCTGGCAGCTCGTTTAAGCGCCTCTCGGCGTGTTCCCGCGCAGACAGTGACAGGCGAAGCATCAGATTCTACGCTTGCTTCGTTGGGCCTTCCTGTCTCGTTGAAAAACAGGATCGAAGTCTGTGTCGATGGCATGCAATCATTTGCGACTTATTGAGCACTTGCGGTCATACGGAAGCTCCCAAAATTGTGAGCGCGCTCCTAAGCCTTTGCGGAGGGCTCTGCTAGCCGTCACGTCCGCATGTTCTACCGAACGATTTCGGGCGAGCGGTTGGTAAAGGCAGCTCAAGAAACAAATCGACACGTTGAGCGCACGAAACCCAATTCAAATCCGCTTGGATGGCATCAGCATCCAGCACCGACCGACCATTCCCGCCATTTCCGGTAGCGCCTTTGTTCCCGGACGCACCGGACTAAATTATATCAAACGACTCCAAACGGAACTGAAGCACTAAAGTGCGGTGAACACTCACCTTTATGAATACCTCCTATTCTTGGTGTTCTTGGAGATGTACGAGAGGTATTTGGCGGCTCTGGCGGTTCGCGATCGACGCCGGCACTCATCCGGCGAAGCTGAGTGCATACATTGTTTTTGTTGTCAACGGCTGCCACTGCGCACGGTCAACCTCGTTCCACTAGTGAACTTGAGCTGCTTCAGCTGGTTATCGACGGTTAATACGTCGCCACTCAACACCTGAACGTAGAACGAAAACAAAAACATTGCCCCCGCGGCCAAGGGCGCCAAGGCGGAACAGAACGGAACCGTACCAGCCAAAATTAAAGAATCAAGCAAAAAAAAAAAAAAAAGTAAAAACAAACAAAAACAAGAAAAGTACTTTTTTATATATTTTTACTTGAAAACGTTATCTAAAAATCAACAAAAAAACAAAAACCGGAAGTGACGTCATTTTTTTTCAGCCAATCGGCGTTTCCAGTTTTACTGCCCCGAAACGCTTGTGCCTCTGTGACCCGCGTATTTCAAGCACGAGTGCGCGCGTTGCGCAAAAAAAAAAAATTAAGTAAATAAATAGACGTGCGAAAAAATCTGCTTTCGCAGCCACGCCTGCTACACGAAATCGAATGTACCAGTTTCTATGGCAACGTAGAATAAAACAACACCGCGGAGGCCCTCCACAACAATATACCGTCGCTGCAGGATAATAAATAAAAGAATGTGTTTCACCGTTTTTTTTTTTTTTCTTTTTTCTTTTTCTGAAGTTAGTGAATGTTTTATACAGTCACCCGCAAAAACGTCACTTACACACGAATTTGCTCTGTAGGGAGAAAACGAGATAAACGAATAAAGGTGCACATTGCGAGAATCGGCGCTGATTGGCGGGTTGCGCGAGAAATAATCTCAGCAGGTGTCCTTTCGTAAGAAGGAAAAGCGCGTCACACAATGCCGCCACAAGAAAAAAGGGGCAATTTTGGCTCTTGTGACAACGTCCTCTCGCTAACCCCGGCTCGGGGGACGACGCGAGAGCGTGGGTCGCAACGTGACGTTTTGTAACGGGGCGCCCAAGTCGCCGCTTGTGCAACGGTCGCGCAGTCCGCGGACACAAAGGAGTGTGTGGTCGGCGACGGACACATTTCCCTGAGGACGAAGCGAAATTACGCGCAAAAAAATATGTGTCCACATTCTTGTTCGTAGGGATCGTCATCTGGGAATGTCGCTTTTCTCTGTATCTCTCGTTGTATACTTGCGTACATTTATGGTGTGATCGACAATGAAGTCGGCACTGGCCACCTTTTGGGCCATCGACCCAAACAAAAACGATAGCAAAAAATAAAATATAAATAAAAATACAAACACGATGGAGTGTTGTTGACAACAATAGGGAGTTTTCGTAGATCGTTTTCGCCGCCCCGCAACGCCCTCCGCAACCCTTTACGATATCCGGAACTCTACAGCCAAGGCCGTCGGCGCGCAGGCGCAGTAGCGGCTTCTTCGTTGCGGAGGGCGGAGGGGGAAACAGGGTCTACGAAAACTCCCTATTAAACCGTGTGCACCGTTGTGTTCACTCGCATGTTAGTGTGTACAGGCATCGACAGGCAACCTTGACAACTTCGAAGAAAAGGGGCAACATGTTTGAAACCTGCAGGACGTATAACCTCAGGGGCTCCAAGCAGAACGGTTGAAGACTTCGCTTGCATGGCTCATAAAAATTTGACCCGGTCGTGCGTCGTTTACGAAACGCAGAAGACGAAGGAAAGAAGTTAAGACGCGAAGAAGAAAAAATAAATAAATACGACACCAAACAAACAAACTTCGTTTTTCAGAATCTTGATAGATGTGGGAGGAAACGCCTTTAAATGTGGAAACGTTTGACAGAATGCGGAAGCGCTGTTTTTGTTGTTGTTGCTTTGCTTGCGTTAGCTAATTGAGATGTGCTTAATTTCTGAAATATTGCGGTCTCTTCCTTACCGTTTTTTTTTTCCTCTCGCTCTGCACATAATGCCAGCTTTCCAACTTACCGCAGATTTTTTTTTTCTCTGTTACTACTCCTTTTTGCTTTGCTACGTTTGGCTTACATTGCGTTTTGCTGTTAGGTCTGGTTTGACTAGGGTAAATTAAGTACAGTTAGGTTAGGTGAAGTAAAATTTGCTTTCGTATTCCTGGTAGATCTCCTTGAAGTTTGGCTTTTATGGTTGTTATTTACAACTATGCTCACATACTGCGTACATAATGAAATGGATTACCGAGTAGCAAACCAAAAACAAAAGGTACAGATAACGTAAGAACAAAACCCGTATATGTATCCAACTAAAATTTCTATTTCTTAGCATACATATAGCATTACAAGCACATGGAATAAATTGTAAATCTTATATAATATTTCTAAGGACCTCCTCTAAATCGTGCAAAGTATCAGGAAAAATAATGGCATGGGGAAACCTACTTGATACGTCAACTGCCTGCACAAGACGGTTGTGATGTGCGGGCACCAATTAAAGTAATCTCTTTCCCTTTTCCGTGTGACAAAAGGACAGGTCAAGATTGATGGATGGATCGATGTTAATGGCTATACACTTCGTAACGGGCGGTAGCTTGCGCCACCTAGCCTAAGTCTAAAAAGACCGACAGCTAAACTAATACATATTTAGTGTTCTATTATAGATATAGAAGAAAAAACGATCCGGTCGCTGGTACTCTTTTCTGTGTTTTAAGCTTGTAAACCTGCCTGATGCTTTAACACCGATGTGGCACGCCTAAAGTCGGTAAGCAGTGTGAGCGGTCCGGAATTACTCATTTTCAAGTTCTCTGGCGAGATTTATATAATAGACACGAAATTTCAGACGCCTACTCAAAAGTAGGACGCACAAGCGTTTTATATGCTAGAAGTATAACTCGAGTACGCATATTACGAATAGCTTGCTTTGTAGATGCCGAAACTGTCTAGTTTTTTCTTCTCTTTTTATGTAATCAAAACGTTTTTTTAAAGCTATTTATCGCTTTTAAGTTTAGTGATCCTAACAACATCAAGCTCGTGAATAAAAGATTCTTTATTTTCGTTGTAAATTGCAATATTATAATAATTATTATTTTAGGTTTAATAAGCCAGCATGTCTAATTATCTCGCCGATGTGCCAAGCAGTGCGTAGCACAGATTAGTCTGATCTTCTACAGAGGAAACGAATGTATGAATTATGCAATCGTCAGCAAACGGACGTCCTCATTTTCACTCTAGCGTGGACACACACAGAAAACAAAACTGTTTACATATGTTGTAAATCCCTAAGCCCCATGTTGATGCAAAAAACGATGCAATTTCTCTAAGAAAATGAAATGTTGCCTTACAATATTTTCGAGTAAGTTGCACGATGAGCAAGTCAGAGATATTGGGCGATACTATTCCATCAGATCACCGTTTTCTTCCTGCAAGAACCACTCTCACTAACATCCAGTCGTCCGGTAGGACCTCAGAGGGATCTATAAATTATGCCCGTCAGGAACTTCGCCACCCACCGCGCGTACCTCTTAAGAAATGCGTTCGGCATTGCGTCCGGTCGATATTATATCCTAAGACTAAGCGATAAAAGCGAATTCGCAATACCCTGTTCAGATATTATTAGGTTGTACGTATAACAAGCTCTCGTATCTGGGATTACTGCAAGGCCGGCTCGTCTCGCATATATTCATCGTGAAACCCACTCGGATGAACTGAAGAAATTTACGTGACAGATCGACTTCGACCAACAGAATATTGCCATTGACGAGTATAGTTCCCAAATACGTCTCCGACGAGGCCAGTATCGCACCAGAACTTTTCAGGCGATAATGACACTAATTCGGACAATAAATTTGTAGAAAGCGTTTCAAAAGCGATAGTTCTATAAAAGATCCAGTCTTTGCTCACTAGTTGTTGGTTTTGTTCGCGCCGTATACCAATAGGGTGAGAGACTGGCAGCAGCGGAGCGCAGCTGTTGCCGTCATAGCCCGCGTGACCAATGACGTTGCACGCCTCCGTTGCGTAGGGATGGGCGCTGCGTAGCAGTGTAGGAACTGCGTATTAGTGACGTTGAGATGGGGGCCCAACTTTGCGCTCCTCGCGGGTTATAGTTGATAACTAAACACGTGGGGAAAACAACAACGCTACTTTTTTGTTTGTGTTTCTGACGCGGCACTCAGCTCACGAGGCGAACGTAGCGTTAACCGTTCGGCTGCGGCTTCTGATCCGTCAACGAGGCAGCAATTACTTACGAATTTCAACCGCACAGTGACGCAGCGCTCGTACCAAATCTGTTCCTCGCACCCGATCGAGGATGATAACGTAAACAATCCAGGTCACAGGCATTTTTTGGGTTCACACTAAGCTCTGCGTTCAGTGAACAAAGCTAGAGAAAGCGGCCCCTATAGTTCATCTTCTCGCCATTTCATTATATTTAACAATATGTCTTAGCCACGTAACTTTTTAAACTAGTTTTATTAGGTGTTTTTATTTTTTTTTTTTTTATTTGCCTGTTTAGATTAATCCGTTCCCGCAAAACTCAAACCGATAACGCAGCAAAACAACTCCGCATTTATAAGCACCGTCCCATATCCGAGCTCGTATAAAACTAAATGCCTGCACGTTACTATCACAGCGACTTCATGGATGTCTCGCGGGCGAAAAGCAGCGCGGCCGCGAGGTTTACGACGCCAGCCGCATGTAAACGCTCGGAGCGCTCTGTCTTTTCTCGCGCTGCCTCTCGCCATCGTCGATCCCAACCGCCGACGCGTAATGGACCCAGGGAATATGGGTCTCGCTGGGGGGGTCCCACCGCGCCGCCTGCAACCCCGTTGGAGGTTGCGACAGGGCGTCGCAGGCACGCGCAGCTAGCTTCGTGGCTGGCTGCGGATATCCGACACTGCCATCGATTGGCATCTGGCGCTGCCGCATCTTGCAACACCTCTTCTCGGAGGTACAGGGCCATAGAAACGACAAGCGCTGTTCGCAGCGTACGTTCACGATTCGTCCCGCACTGTTGTTGTTGTTGTTTCTTTATCGATAGGGGATCGGGTACGTAAAGACTCCGGACCAACACCGTCCCACCACATACAGTGTTCCACCACTCTTAATCGTGTAATGATATCACCGATTTTTTCTTTCTTTGCATACCTCCGGTGGCCCGGATAAGGTGCGGTTTAATGATCGCAGTGTCACTCGCTAATGCACACTGGCTAGAATAATAAAGATTAGAACAATATAGGACGAATAACATTAAGAAAAACGAAAAAGCCACACACCCCTTACTCTCATTAACGAGACGCGTGTATCTAATCTAGCACCGATAAAAGAAAA